GAAATAAGAAAGCAATTGTAGGATTTTTTTTAGTTCTATTATTTTTTTAAATATTTTTTAAAAACTAATTTTATTTTACAATATTTTCAACTTAAACACTATTCACACTGAACACATATGGCAGCTTAACCTACTCAAATATGAAGTTTAGGAAGCCAAAACTGTTCTAGCTTTGTTAAAAGAAAAGTTGTGCTGTAGACTATCATGATGGTTAACAAAGCAAGGAAAAACACCACTCAAATCATGATGTTACAATTTCTTTGTTCAATTGGATTATGGGTTGGTCGAATGTTGGACTTCACATAGGCACAGCTATGATGCAGTGGACTCCTTAGAGATGCAATTCTCAAATCATGCATCTCTTCAGATATAGTATTAGGAGAATTCAACACAATAATATATCACAAAAGTCAGAAAAAGTTCTCATCACTATTTTGTAACCTCAGTAATCGAAGACATGCCTTTAATAAATTACTTCAAATTAAATAGCTGGTCTTAGGAAAAGAAGATAGTTTTTGATGGGACAAATGCAAATTGAAGCTTGAATTGTGGAATTTCCTTAACATTTGGACTTAATTTAGATTTACTCATTTAAAAAAAACACCTTTGAACATTAACAAATGTTAGTTAACCCCAAGGCACCAGTTTTACCTCAAAAAGACAATTACATAAAATTTGGAAGTCATTTAATTTGGTACTTTGTCACAACTTGACTGGTGCTTCTTTCCTTGCTGCCTTCCAATTGTAGGTTTTGAGAAGGGAAACAACACATGAAAAATGCTATGAAGTATCTATATATGGTTTAGTGATATACTTAGAGCATTTTGGGTAGTCTCTCAATTAGAAGTAGAGATTGAATTGAGTATCTGTTCAACTCCATTATTTGATGGGAAATTGTGGCCCCCAACGTATCACAAGGTTATACAACTAAGATGTGTTGTTATGTGCCGTCAAGTCAGCCCTGACTCATAGTGACCCCTCCTTCGGTTTCTGAGGCAGTATCACTACGAAAGTAGATTGCCCAACCTTCCTTCCAAGGAGTGGCTGGTGGGTTTGAACTGCCAGCCTTCTGGTTAGCAGTCAAGTGCCTTAGGCACTACGCTACCAGAGATGTAGAAAAATAAAATATACAGATCTCTCGATTTCTAGTTGAATGGTCTAAACTAGAAAGCCTTTTTTTGGTTTAATCCCTGTTGTTGCAACATTTAAAACTATATTCGTAAATTTTTCTTATTTAGACCATAGTGAGCATAAGTAAATATTTCATTGAATGTGAGGGTTGTCCGTACGGTATAGGGATATTTTTAGGTACTATTAATGTTAGTAGAATGTATATGAAAGGTTAAGGAAATTGGGCTGAATCTATATTAATCCAATAATATTTTCTGAATTTTTTAAATTCTGAATTCATAACAACATGTTTTCTGTAAGCATTAAACTAAGAAAAAGATCCAGGGAATAAAGGAATCTGGTTAATTTTATGTAATTATAATTATAAAATATAAAATATGGGAAGAAAATAATACCTATTCTTATGGAAATTTGGCTTTTCGAGGGAAAGTACTATGGAAAGTAGTAATTAGAAAAGCATTTGTACAGAGAGAGATCATTTATCCAAAGCTCTCTTAAGTACTCTACAAACTCCAAATCAAGAAACCTCTCACAGCAGAACCTGATTTCTAGCCAATCAAATGATTTACGGGCAATGTATTAAAATTTACTAAAACTCGAGAGCTCTGGTAGCATAGTGGCTAAGGCACTTGACTGCTAACCAGAAGGCTGGTGGTTCAAACCCACCAGCCACTCCTCGGAAGGAAGGTTGG